GGGGGGGGGGAAAGAGATCACGACGACACGGTGTATATTTTGTGTGATGCGTGACGACTGTCACCACATCCCCGACCGGAATTCTCGTGCTTGTTGCAACGGACACGCGACGGCTCGACGGAGGACCAACTCGCCGGTGGCACGGACACGGTGTTAATCGGACTAGGAACAATTAAGTAAGGGATTTTTGTATAACGCGTATATACCCGTGTGCCAATTACTTTACACATATACATATCGCACAAATCTACTATTTAAATGAGAACACGTACGGAGGTAGGAACACTCGCGCGATTTAACTACGATTTCCGAGCCGGTGTCGACTCTATCGGTCTATTCTGTAACTTTTAACGGCAGTGTCGTTATGTTGTTGTTGTGCGGTTGTAACGGCCGTGTTCGTATATTCATCGACCAATGCTTTACAATATATATACATATTATTTCGATCGTAAAATAATATGCGACATGAACTATAGATTTTCAGCACTGCCAGTGAATGCTACGAGCACAGCCCGTCTGTGGTGGAGAAACTGCGCGATAATAATGTAACGATAATGATACTGTCGTTAAAAGTTACAGAATAGATTTACCAGGCCCTGTTCTGCATGCGTATGGCGAACGCTTGGTATGGAATGTATGGCTAGGGTGACTTTCACCGTACTCCGATCAAGCTAATCGACGGTTTAAAATTGCTGTCGGCCAAATGTTATGTCTGAATACGATATTTACGATGATGTTAAAAACTTTTCTTTAAATGGGCAAAAATATTAATCACTGCACAGTTTTGGGAAAACCTCCCATCAATCACAAGGAAAATGCTATACTAAGTGGTAGAAAATTTATAATGGATATCAGACAAGGAGTGTGCAGAGCTTATAAGCTTAAAAGATAGATACATACGTACATACGTATGTAATCATATTTTGGAAACTGGTAAATAAATATACAGCATGTCTAAAAATGCCAACTGTGGAATTAATTATTTCTAATGCTGCAAACTATGGGATTAATTATTTTCAATGTTTTATGCAAGCCACGCATTAGTGCTGTTTTTAAACTGTAAAATATCTACCTTATCTGTATTTTCCAATTTTAGAATCGAGAACAAATTCGAATCGAATCAACAGAGATTCGATTCGGAACGATACGCATATCTCTTTACAATTTTTATTATTATTCATCGATTAGTCTAATCGGAGTTTGGTGAAAGTCACTCTAAATTTTCCTCCCTGGTTTTCTTGATTTTTCTTTATGCAAGGACGGAACTGAATGTCGAAAGGGCGCATTTGCCGTTTGCTGTGCATCCGGAATAGGGCCGCTAGTGGTAGGCGCGGCTAATTGGTAATTAATCGCGCGTTTGTCTCCTGAGATTAAATAGATTCGTGCACATTCGCGTTCAAGAGAGCGTACAGCACGGTAAGGGAGACGATCCGGGGAAAGAGAGATGCCAGGTTTCGTAGATCGATTCCATACCATGGTGCTGGATAAATATATGATTCTTTACGTTAATCGGTAGTCGAGTCCCTTTTATTGAATAGCTGGACTATTTCTCAGTTGCAGTTATAGTTGATTAGAGAGTTTATTCGGCGAAGGACGCCTCGCGTTACAGGTGTAGTCGTTTGTGCGAGGATCGAGGGCCGCGTTTTCCAACGCATTCTTCATCGACGTGATGATTTGCGATTAGCTTGTCTCACGGGGAGAAACTCATTTTCTACCTGAGAAAGGAAAGTAACAACAACTGAAAAGATGATGAAAAATCAGATTGGTCGGGAAGTTTTCTCGCGCGCCGATAACAGTTTCATCGATAGCGTCGGCACAAAGAGAAGGCAGATAAAGGAAGGACAGAGCGAGAGAGACGGAGGAGGAGAGAGGAGGGGACGAGTGGATTGTTATGGAGAATTACCGCAATATTACGCATATTACATATTAAATATGAATGTGATGATGTATACGTTGTAAGTAAATATGTGCGCTGTAGGCTGTAGGTCGTAACAATGGCGCTGATAATCAAGGAACGTTAACATAATTTAGCGTTAACTATATCGATGTTTAATTTATCGATCGTTAAGCCACAAATACGCGACACGAGCGCGCTTCGATTTCTAGATCGCGTCCGAGCGCAATTATCGTTGCGAGCCCGCGGTAACATCCCCACCGGGGGTACACTTTGGGTCCTTGTTTCGGGTAATGCGATTATCGATTATTGGGTTGTTGTTCCCGCGAATGAATGAATAATTTCGTACCTCTCCGGTGCACGGTCAATCGACAGCTGTGTTCGTATCCCGAAGAAGAAGGTAATAGCGGAGGAGATGATAAGTACATTACACGATAACTCATTAGTCCATTAGTCGATGTTACGTCGTCGAAGAAGGGCGCTTCTAGATTATCGTCAGATCAGATTGTACCGATTCTAACGTAGTTAGAGAGGGAAGGAGGGAGGGGAAGATCGAGGGGGTAATTTTGGTATGATCGGTGTAATGCGAGTGAAATGTAATATCGCACTTGTATCGCTACGGGAGTGTCATGCATTTTTGCGCTGAATGTTTAGTCCGTAAGAAGCAGCACGAATCAAATATACACGCATATCCGAACATGTGACGTCCCGTGACGATGATTTACCCCGGCGAAGACTAACAGGAAGAAAAGAAAGAACCATTTCCTCCTCCTCGAGATCCTTGAGACTGATCCCAACACCGTTTTATCTTCTCGTCTCGCTTAATTATCGCCTGCGGCGAGAGTCGGTCGACGGTGCGATTGGCGCTAATCGGAGACCGAATTTCTCTCTTACTTTTATCGGAGGATGGAAGTGACGCATCGTCGGGAAGAAATTAAGAGATAAAAAGAGACAAGTGAGGTGTGTGCTTTAACAGAAATTTATTGTTCCGATACATCACGAATGTAACCTGTGGAAAGAGGACAGCCTCCCAGGTGTTTCTGGCAAATCGAGAAGAAGCAAGTATTACGTACACGAGGATACAGCTTATTTATTTTATTCGTGTCACTTTTAAATAGTGTTTCCTTTGTCCACCTCAGCCGATCTGTATGCAAGCTTCGAGGTCGACACACGTGCTCCCTCTCTCTTGATAGACTTTTATATATAGGATGAAGATGGTAAAGTTGAAACGGTAAGTCTCGGCGACTTTGGGAAGAAGGGTCATTCCTCTTTTGAGAAATATTAATCGGACCGTCGGATGAGAGCAGCAGTTTCGATGAAATATTCCTCCCAGTGAGATGAACGGTACTACTTCGGAGATACTTTTTTTTTTTTTAGGATATATTCCCCCGAATGTACTTCGTGTGTTCTGAAAATGTTCCGGCGCGCGCGGCACATATTTCGGCAGCATCGCGAGAATTCTCCGTAATATCTCGAGAATCTCTCGATCTCCCGGAGAATTTTGGCGGAGATCCTCGTTCTCGGGAATCGTCGGAACATTTTCTCGCATTTCACGTGTGCACCGCACAGATTTGCATAATAATCCACCTTGCTCTCGCGAATTATGTAATTTTACATGAGGGACGCACCTCCCCCGCGAAACTCGTAATTGTACGTACAGCACTCGCGTATTTGCGCGCCGCGGAATATTCACTGAAACGTCTCATCTCGCGTTTTATCGGGTCGTTAACGATGTGGAAAATCCTCGTGTCCGCGCTTTTCGAAAATTCCCTGACGCTTCTAGTTAGCGACGGCGTCGCGTAAATATTTATATATTATATATATATATATATACACATATATATATATATATATATAGCGCGTATATGTGTATGTATAATATATTACACATTCTATTACATCGCCCTCGCGAGCGCCTTCACGTCGCGCTCCTCTTCCCCTCGTATAAATACTTAGCGATTACCTTATGCGATACTTAACGCTTAATCACTATCTCGTCTTTGCTGATGATTGGTGTTTAACAGTCGCGCGCGCGCCTGTGCCGCACGAGAACGCTCCTCTTCGCGATATACCAGCGACGACGGGCGCAAGGAATATAAAAAAACCAAGAAACATCAAGCGAAAAAAAAGGAAAAAAAAAGGAAACAAAAAGGCAATCGCACTTTGCGCTGTCGAACGTCCGAAACGATCTTACATCTAATTATCGTAACCCAGCAACGCGATAATAATAATAACAATTCGATCGTGAAACCCTCCGCGCTATCCCCCGCGAAATAATTCCGCTCTCACGATAGACGAATCTCCCTAAATCCGCATTTGTGTGCGAGGTAACAGCGATACGTATAAAAGTCTGGCCGCACACACCGAAGGAAGCTCGAGATCGTAGCGGCGATGCTGCGAGCGCGGCGTGCGAATTGGCGAATAACTGCTCCACCACCTCCTCCTCCGTCCGGCGAGGCTCTCGTGCGGCAATTGAGCGCGGCAAATTCACCTGGTGTGTACGCGAATACAGGATGTCCCGCGTAAAGCGAACGGATTTGCGGTATTTTCGAGCACGGGGAGGAAATGAAACGCGCGCTTTCGTTTCCCTTCGCGTTCGATTATACGACGCTCCGAGAAAGGAGATGCTCGCGTTGAGGAAGTGTTGTGTCACACGCCAAGACCGCGACGGTATGCTGCTTTACGCGACGCACCTTGCATACAGCGTGCTCGGCGAACGGACTGTAAGTCGAGAAGCTTTCGTAATCGACGACGACGGAATTCGGCAGAACGAATCGTATTCCCACGGTTTTACGTCCAACGATCCGAGTCTGACGGTTCACCACCCGGAAGTCTATCGATAAGCTTCCTACACCTGCGTTCTTAACACCGTTTTTCTCGATAGAGTTCGGGACGTAGCCGATGTCCAATTTGCTTCTAAAGAATTCGCAGAAGTTACGATCTCTCATCACAGATCGGCTGTCTTCCGAACAGCATCGAAAAAAAATTCATGTTCAAACTGCTAAAACTAAGCGTAGCAGCGGCGCCGGTAGGTGAAGTGTTGATCAATTAATAAATTAATGCCTGACGCGACGCGCCACCCGGGTCGTGATCTCGCGATGAGCACGCAATTAATGTATAATTAACATATAATTACATTGTTTGTGATACCAGATAGTTACGAGGAGTCGCTGAATTAATCGCCCAATTTCTGTTGCTCCTCAATATTGAATCAAGCACATATGAAAACGCGATCAATAAATTGCAAATAGTCTTTAAATAGTTGAGTTAGGAATATGTGATAAATTGCCGTCTTGACCGCGTTCGCAAATTCGTGCTATTTCGAATGAGGCGATTAATTCGATAACCGTCCCGTTCAAGCTCGGGAAAGGAAAGACGTTTCCTTAATTACGCGCGACGTCGGCCAGCTTCGATCCGATCGAAACGTTTTCCCTACCAGTTGTGTGAAAAGAAGAAGAAATTCCGTTTAAAGAAAGTCCCGTCCCCGTTATTACTTAACGTCTCCGTAAAACCGTCGGAATGTTGTGACTTCTTACACTACTTTCGCGGAGCACGCCAATATTTTCTCGATCGCTTATCCTTATAAATTACCTTGGCTATTTCCGATTATTCGATAACGGTAGTAGTATGGTACAACGTCCTCTCTCTTAAGCTATACTGAAATATCATTCGAACTGTCTCCTCTTCGTACGTTCGCTCACCCGTCTTCCGCCTCGTTCACTATATTCAATTAAAATTCGCAGCGACGCGCGTAACAATGGAAAAAAGGAAACAAAATAAAAAATAATCGTCAGCATATACTCTCAAAAAATCCCTCAACGAGGCTGCATCGAGGGTTACAAGTACCGCGAATTTGTCCGGAATTATCCTCCCCGGACGCTAATTCGCGCGATTATTATACAACGATTATTTATACAACTACAGTGAAATCAGTCAACTCTTTAGCAAATTTCGCCGGACCTGCTTCAAGGAAAGTGCCCTTTCGCGATTGCCGATTTAATTCTCGCGCGTTTGCCGGAAACAATTACGTTTGATTTAATCGCGATCGAATATCGGTTCCGCCTGACAGAAGAAAACGGTCTGAGGAGGACAAGCCGAATCATGCGAGAATAACAACGGAACGTACGAACTGATTACTTCCGGATCAGATAACGACGTCGGAATGTTTAATCACAGGAACGGCGATAAAAGGAACGCGCCAACACACCTTCTACCTCTCTCTCTCTCTCTTTCTTACATATCCTACACCTTCGAGCTTCCCCGTCCGAGTTTTCTCACGCACGTGCCACCTTTATACAACACGAACATCAGCCGAGTCTTACCTTCAAACGACTTCGAAGCTTTTATCATTTTACGCTCACACATTCCCTCACTCGCGTACGAAAGCGGGCTCGAGTCGATTTATCTCGCTTTCTCCGGAAACAGAAAAAACATACGCAAGAAAAAATTAATTCCTCAAGCGTTCTCTCTCTCTCTCTCTCTCAAAAAACCGAGGCTCGTAGTCGCGAGAGAAGAATCGACGCGGCGCTCGGGCAGAAGAATTTCCGGAGAAGACGACGACGCAAATTACGATAAAGCGTGGAAGTCTCGAATAGGCGTCGCCGCCGGGCGGATTCAAGAAGCTTCATCCTCGAATGGCGGGGATGAGTATCGATCGGCTATGGCCGTCGCGCGCGATGCGAGAGATGAAGAGGATGCTGCTGTGTTAATCGGTGCAGCTCGTCACCGCGAATTCGCGAGCCCGACCGCGTCTCTTGAAATCTCTACCGCCCCCTTCTCTTCTCTCCTCCCGCCCGGCCTCGTGATTCCTTCGGCCGCAAGAAAGGATGCGATATTCACAGCCCATGCTCTCGGCGTCTGTAACGCTTAAGTATATTCGTCCACGACAACGCGATAACGTCCCCGCACTACGTCCTACTGACAAGACAAGTGATATGTTAATGCGTTCTAAGTCCGCGCTGCCGCGGCCCCGTGCGTATAAATCTCGTCGTTCGCGCGCATCCCGCTGCTTTTTCGGCACCACCTTCGTTGATCCCGCGTATTATCTTCGGTATTCTCGGCATCGTCGCGGATCTGACGACCGAGCATGACGGTCCAAATTTGACACGAATACGTGGAAAAGAGTGGCGAATAAGATCCATCGATTGTACGACAGAAGGCTGCTCAAATTACTGTCACGCACGATATGAAAAGACGTTAGAAACCAAATTTCCGGGTTACGATCGCTTAATTTATGGAATGTTTAATACAAAATTGCAGAACTTTTCGACCTTAATTCAGTCATAACGCAAAAAATTTATACCACTAAGCTATCTAACTAGTCTTGCAACGCGTTCAATGTTCTCCGACATAGATACGGCTTATATTCTAATGGAAGCGTAAATTATTACTAAATTTAGAATACTTATCGTATAAACATTGAAACATGGAAATGCCAAACATCGGAACACAGTACAAATTTGCAATGCAAATAATTAATAATGAAGTACTTATTAATTGATATGAGTTTTGCAGACACGCTTACAAGCATTTACGGAATTAACTAGATCGAGATAGGTTCGTATCCCGCCGGGATAAATTTCGTATCTCGGCCTAGTCAATTCCGTAGATACTAGGAAGCGTATCTGCAAAACTCGTATCAATGAATATGCTAAGGAATTAAGTGCTTCACTATTAATTATTCATATTGAAAATTTGTACTGTGCTTCGATGTTTTAGCATTTCCGTGTTTCAGTGTTTATACGACAAATACTTAAAATTTAGTATTAATTTATACTTCCATTAGAATATAAGCAGTACCTATGTCGGAGATCACTGAAAGCGTTGAAAAGCTAGCTTAGGTAGCTTAATGGTATGATTTTTTGTATTACGGCTGAAGAGAACCCAAGTAAGGAAGATCGAAACGTTCCTCAATTTTGCATGAAAAATTCAATAAATTTGAGCGACCATCAAATTTGACTTCTAACGTCTTTTGTATTGTATATGAATAAGATTTACGTTCAATACGCAGTTATCAACGACGTAATTATACGCTATAGCAAGTTCAGTGAATAATATGAAGCACTTAATTCCTTGGCATGTTGATTGATCAGAGTTTTCCAGATATATTTACGAGCATTTATAGAACTGACCGAAACAAGTTGTGTCTCGTCGGGATAAGTTCTTACCTCGGCCTAGTCAATTCCGCAAATGCCTGTAGTTGTATCTGGGAAACTCATATCAATCGATATACTAAGAATAAATGCTTCGTATTATTATTTACACCATACAACACGTTGACTGCCACGGTAATCTCTGTGGAATGCCCCAAAGTTTAATTGAAATGTCACCGTATGGCCGCATACATAATGAATACACATCCTCACGCGTATATTCGTCAATTAGTTTTCTCGGCTTTCGATCGATCGCGGGATTTAATTTGTCAGGTTACAATTAGTCACGTTTCACGTGTCAATTAATGAGACGCGGCGAAATCACAGTACCGGTTCACTGACGATCTTCACGGCAGTCAACGAATTACTTAACAACAGCCGGACATCGATGATTAAATCAAGAGGCGAGCTTAATCGGCAGCAATTGTACAAATCGGTTGAAAGTGATGTCGACGCTTCCTTATTTCACTCTGACGTTTCTGACGTCAATCTTTCGCCATTCATTTTCACGCTTGAGTTTGCTCTTCGAAGAAGCCGTATTTAGCAGTTTACAATTTTCTGATCTGACACGTTGAACGTGGGATCCTCGTGTTCGACCGTGCACAGCGAGATACGCACAAGCAGGTATACGCAGCATGACGCACGCTCGGTCAAACGCGATTAAGTACCATCATTATTATCATTACCATCATTATCGTCATTACCGTCGTCATCCCTGCGTTTCACGGCCGTGATCGTGCGTTAATACCGGTCCAGAAATCACAATTCATCGCGACGAAGCCCACGGATGAGCTCTGCTCGATCATTCACACTGCCGGCTGTACAAAAAATAAGCCCCGACCGGGCCGCCTCGGGAGTTCGATCGAATCGTACGAGTGTGGTACAAGATTCACGAGCCCCGAAGGAAGGCCGATTCGAAGCCCTCGAAGCGTTATCTCGCGCACGATTAGCCTGCGAGAGAGATTTCACCGCCGCGCACGTCCGGATGAACGTTATCCTCCTCCCCCGCGCACTCCCGAGCTCAGCCCTCGGTCGAACGTCACCGGGAACGAGCCGCCGTCTGTCTTCGGGATCGCGCGACAAATCCTCGCGGCAGATTCGCCAGCTGGAAGAGACTGGAAATCGGAAGAACGGCTGATCCGCTGATTTCGGACGAGCGAGTCACACCATTAACCATCTCGATATAATGCCTCTTCTCTTTTATCTTCTTCCTCCGTACGTTCTCCCCGTCGCACGAAACGGAAACGAGTCACGGCTGGAATTTAACATGGCGACGGATTATCCCAGCTGACTCATCGTTATTAACAGGATACCGTTGTATGATCTCTCGACTCTTCGTAGCCCGGTTGTCCTCTCTCTCTCTCTCTCTTTCTGTCGTCCTTTTTATCTCTTTCTTTGTCTTTCCTTTCTTCGGCTAACGAGATTCTACCGTTCACGGTGATCGCGCTTGCTGGCGAACAGGACACGTAAAGCCACGAAAGCGGAAGCTCCCCGAAGTCTCCCTTCTCTCACAGTCGATCGAGCGGCGACAGGTTGCGAATGTGATGATATCGTGACTCGGCTCGGGGAAAGGATGTTAGTTAGTAGCTTCTTTGCCTTCCTGGCTTCCTTCGCTCTTCCTCTCTCTCCATCGCACACTTCTGTCGCATACATACACATACACATAACATACGCACGCATGCACGCACGCACTCACTCGCTCGCTCGCTCTCTCTCTCTCTCTCTCTCCCCTTCTCTCCTTTGGCACGTCAGCTCGTATGCTACTCTCTACTCGCTCTCTATCCTATCGTTGCGATAAAAAAATATGAGGAATAAAAATATATCACGTAACAACGTCCCCTAACCATCGTTTCTCCGCGGTAAGGGATAACGCGCGCGAGACTCTCACGCAGCGACGAGATATCAAGATAGAGAGAGACTCCTCTCTTTCTCTCTCTCTCTCTCTCTCCCCACGGCGCATCGTCTCTCCTCTCCCTAAAACTCTACACTGACGCGCACCGACTTCACGTAGATGCTACTCTTTGCATACGTCTCCCTCTCCCCCCTCTCTCTCTCCCTCTCTCTCTCTGCGTTTAACCTCCGGGGATCTTTTATTCTCGGCCTTCTCTCGACTAACGACGCAGCACACGCAAACGATATACTTAAGCTAAGCTGCTTCTAACCTATCGGCTTTATTGACTTCTTGTCCGTTGTCGATCGGAAAAAAGGAATATCGAGAAAGCAATCGGCTCCCGACGACACGTTTGCGAGAGATTGGCGTGGATTCGGTGGTTCTTTTTTTTTCGCATCACGGATGTGGTGAAAAGTCGCGTTGATGTTCGGCGATGCTTAATTTGCCGGCTGGAGTTTCACTGTTCACGAAACCCTGCGAGGCTTGTCTTCGTGTATCTCCGGGGTCTTATTCTCGTTCGAGTCTTCTGCCCGCAGCAGGTCGTTAGATTTTGCGTCGTAGAATTGTCCATCAGATGATAGTGGTATCTTGATGGCGTAAGTTGAGGATCGAAATGTTAGGGATCGCCATTGCACTGCCGCGTTCGGAAGCTCGTCGCGTCTCCGACGTCGTTGAAACAGCAGCAGAAACCCTCCCCCCCCCTTCCCGCGGTCCTCGAAGCGTTCTCGCAGAACATAGAGCTCGTCGCTCTCCCCCGCGAACAGTTTTGCGCGATTTTCGATGTTCGACCGATGCTCATAGATCTCGTTCCGACTCTAACGAGCAGCAAGTTTGAAACTGCTCTCTCTCTCTCTCTCTCTCTCTCTCTCTCTGACGAGCACGAACGATCGCGAGCTCCTCTGCCAGACATGAATTTGGCGCAGGAGCCTTTAGCCCAGCCAAGGTAGCCATCAGCTGGGCTGCGGCGGCGTCAGCCTCACCAGCAGCCACGTGTACAGCTTCGGCTTCCGCTTGTCGATCAGCTCATATTGTAGATTGGCCAATCCGTCGGTGGAGAACCTCTTCTTGCCTGTCTTCAGGAACTCGTACCTGTCGTCGGGGATCGAATATTGATTGGATTATCGGATTATCACAGTCGAATCTCGATTATCTGGTCTTATTTCACAAGGCTATTTTAGTGAGACGAAGTAACAGGTCGGGATTAAGATTTATTAAGAGAAGAAGAACGAGATAAAAGAGCAAGCGAAATTAAGAATAAATAAAAAAACGAGATTAGGAATAAATGAAAAAAAAAAACGAGACAAAGTAACAAGCGAGACAAAGTAAAATTAAGGATAATTAAAAAAAGAAAAATGAGACGAAATAACAGACAGGATTAGAATTAAAAAAAAAAACACACGAGACGAAATAATGGACAAGATTAGAAATAAAAAAAAAAACAAAGAAAAAACAAAATAACAGAAAAGATTAGAAATCATTTTAAAGGGAAAAACCGAATGAGATAACAGGCAAGACTAATGAATTAAAAAAAATCTCGAGATTTACCGAATGAAAAATGTTCACAGTAGCTTGCTCGACTGACCTTTTGGGATTCGCCTTTTCCTTCTTGTGCAAGAGCATCTTATAACGCGCGACGTTCGCCGGATAACGCGAGATGTGCAGGCCGTGGGCTTTGATGCGATTCGCCATATCGTCGTCTTCGCCACCCCAGCCCCAGAAAACGTTACTGAAACCGTTCACCAGCTGGAAGTGTTCACGCGACATCGCGGACACGCCGCCGAAGAGATCGGCGTAGGGTAACCTGAGGATAATTCGACGATTTCATATTTGTATCAAACGCGGATCTCCGACCACTCCCTGGAACCGATTCTTCGCGGGAAATACAACGGAATGGAGTGGGTCGTTTTTTACCTGTACTTGAATTTGTCCACTGCGACCGACATGTGCCTGGGCTGCTCGGGACAGGTGTACAGATTTCTATCGTCCTCCGGAAGTAGGTCAACATCGTGAAAGATGAAACAGTCGAAGATTCTCTCCTTCAATGCCTCCACGTAGCCGACATTCATGAGCATCGCCCGATTGAAGGGTCCGGAGCCTGCGCGCAGAACATTTTTGTTGTATAATATAGCATACTAATAACGTAATTATTGAATAATATAGTATACTTAATAACATCATTGATTAAACTTGTATTGCTCGACTAGAACGTGTTCATATTGAAGCCAAAATTTATATATGACAACAATAAATGAACGATTTAATCGGATATATTTTTAACCTATTTGCATATAATTACAGCGATCATTTCTGCGATTTTCGATTTTATGCATTATATGTAAGACTGAAAATCATGTAAATTTTTATGTAGGGAATCGTGTAAATTTTTATAATTTATGGGGAATGGTACAGCATACAAGACGCCGGCCGTATTACTATATGTATATGCGCGATTATGAAAACAGCAGAACGATGGGATATTCGTTATGTTTGTGACATAAACTACGATATCTAAGCAACGATATATGATTGTAATAGCGTTGTTCACGTTGCTTTCCAAAGTTTCCCGTACTATCTTGTGTTTTGACGTTACAAATCCTCGTCGGTGCAGAACTATTAAATTATTCTTTCGATTCATGAATTTTTATATTTTCTCCGCACATGGGGGATCAAACGGTTCGCGTTTAAATTTTCCGGAGCATACCGATAATTCAGGTGCAAAAATGTCGAATCGGAAATTCTGTCTCTTAACAGGGAATATTTCACTTGTAATCCTTCCGAAAATTTCCACGACGAATATACTTCACTCGCGAATGACGCGGTACGCGGAATTTATTTCTGCAAATGGGCATTCTCTGAAATTCTGGATGATTAAAAATACAGAAGGCAAACAGCGGTGACCGAGATAAATCTCGACGGGAATAGAGAACGCCTTTAATAAACTGCAAACTAAGTCGAATCGGTCCGGGACGCGTTCGCGAATTAGAGGATCTCGTGAATTTTTCAAACGGCTCGTCGTTAATCAAGTCTCATGATATATTTAGCCCGGCTCTCGGCGGTGAAACTTCGGTTCTAGCGCCCTTTTTAATTTACGAGCACGCGTTGATTAGCGCGCCGTGGCTCACTATGAGCCGTTGAACTTGCGGCATCTCGCTCGAGCGACGCCTTCGCGAGCAAAATAATCCGACGTATCTGGCTCCCTCCCTCTCCCTCTCTCTCGGGAACTCTCTCTTCCCGGGCAAATTTGCTATAACTGACTTGTTGAAAATTACGATCCCCGAAAACCGGCGGCAAGTCTCCGCGTCTTCCGGAAAGCACTGCGTCGAAGGCGCGCGCTCTACAAATTGCTCGGGTTTGACAAGGGACCGTCACCGCCGCTGCCTCGGGGGTTGATGAAAAAGGGGTTGCACCAAGACTGATCCCAGGGATGTTTGCCAGGTCGCCCGGTGCAATTAAAAGTTTCGCGTCTTATCCTGTCGGGATGAGTCTTCGCGGTTGTTAGCGGGCGTCGTGACAAAAGTGGGTCACACGTAGGGAACTTTCGGTCGATTTTCTTCGCGTTTCCCGCCGGCCCTTTATCATTTTCATCCTCTTGCGCTGCGATTCGCAATCAATTATTAAGATGGGAGGGACGGGAACATGCTCCAGTATGTTCCGCAACTGACTTTCCAATGCACACTGAGAGAAATTATAGCTATTTTCGGCCCCTCTACTGTTTCCTTCTTACGATTTCAACTACAAAAATAATAGCTACGATATGCATGTAAAGTTATCATCACTGATGCTCGTTTCTATCATCATGATTTCAATCTAATCGACAACTAACTGAACGGAATTGGTCAATTCCATTGAATCAATCGTTGAATCATCGATTACATTTAAATTATGATGAAAGAAACGGACAAAAGATTATGTGTAACACCTATTAGGAAAATGGTTCTCCTGATTATAATTCTTTCACTATGATGATTATAATTACAAATATTAAATATTTTTCTCTCAATGTAATTAATTATTTCAATATATGACCCAAACATAATAGAATATTATAAATATTTTTATAGATATTCATGTATGTTTTTATGTCGATGGGTCAGAATTACATCGAAAAATTAATTATCTGATTTTTCAAATAAAATCAACAGGTCATTAAGTTATCAGATAAAATCACATCGAAAAAATGAGATAATTAATTTTGCAACGTATCAGTGCGTGTGTACACAAGTTTTAGTTTTTATAAATCATGAAAATAAAACGAAAACTTGCGAAAAGATGACTTGAACACACACTTGATAATTCGTACCTTGCAATTCGCCTTTCATGCGAATTTCAATTCGAGAAAAAAACATATTCTTGAGGCAATCGACGTCACAGAACCAATACGAGTCGAGACGGAGTTTACGAGAGAAACTAAAAATACAAGCGGGACATGCTTGCAGGACATTTTCCTTTCGCACCTTTTCGCGAAAATATACTGTCGGATCTCTTACCGTGGCCGCAATTTCCCTCCTCTCGCTGCGGTAACGCATAATAATGCGCGGCAAATGGCAGGATGTAACCCGATTTATGTCGTGTAAACTGGTAGCGGGTATCACGTCGGGGTAAATTAGCTCATCCCGCAACTTCGTCGACGTTAATGTTGCGAGATTATAGGACGAGTTAATGTCTTCGTGTGCACGATGGACCTGCCTAGCGTCTGCCATGAAACGGCAAAGCACGAGAAGTGCGTTTCCCAGAATGGATAATGTTTAATATTAAAATGCTCCGAGGAATAGAGAAAGAAAGAAAGAGAGGAGGGGGGAGAGAAACGCGCAAAATAGTTGCAAAACATCGCGCAACACCGGCTGTTGGACGATTTCCCGAGGATTTCCTTCTGCTCTTTTTACCGCTAACAAACGCCGTAGCGTGCGTCGTGCGCTTGACGCGAAGGAAACGGGAAGAAAAGGAGCGCGGAAAACGTGTCTATAAAAGGATCTTAATTGCACTTAACGTCACCTATCGCCGCTGTCGTCGTCCGTTTATCCGAGAATGTTTACGAGGCCTGCCGGGACCGGCGCTGGAAGCCGGCGTATCCTCAAAGGACGAAGATGAGAGAGGCAAGGGTAACGCTCTCAAAGCCGTCGTCGGACACCCCCCGTCGATTATTATTGGCTGAATAGACTTTGCGCTCGATCGAACCTCTCTTACCCGCCGGTAGTCGACATCAACGAGCGTACACGCGACGCGTCTCTCCGAAGAAAGTCGCCCGGAGGCCAAGGACCTCTCTCCCCCTTCCACCCTCTCACTCATTCTCTGTCCGCGAGCAGTTCGCCAAACCCCGCACGCCAGAAGGATATAAAACTCTTCTGTTTTTTCCCTCCCCCTCCTCGGCGAAAAGTGTCTCGCGGCGGAAGTTTATTTTAGGTATTTGAGATATTTCTTTATTGCGCACCGCGCTAGGAAGAACGGCGGGGGAGAAAAAGGGATGTGATAAGGGAGGGTGCGAGTGGGAGGGGGAGCGGATACACGACGGGGTCGCGTACACAAAGCGTGTCGCCGGGTATACGCTGGCGGTACAAGGTAAACAATTTCGCGAGGCGGGCAAACGGAAACGGGAGGGCGGCTTGACCCGAAAAAAAAATCGAAAATGTCAGACGATCCAACGGCCGCGCTCATTGCGACGGTCTCTTCGTTTTATCCAACGGCAACGTCGCCGCGCTTGCATACTGCCACGCTCTCACATTCTGAAAAGGTGGCCGCGGCGGCGGTCGCACGATTACGGCCGTCGTTGACGAATCAGAATTGTAAATGACCTCGGCGGCGGCAGGGTCGATCCGGCCGACTGAAATAGTACCGAGTGTAGTGCACGAAATAGCGTAGAGCGCGGAGGTGACGATTCATAAAATCGGAACCGCACGTCCCTTCGTTGCGCCGGTGCAGCTCGAGTTCCCGCGGCGATTTCGACGGTTCACGAACGACTTTGCAAATACGCAAACTCGCAAAAGTTGCGGATATTAATAGATTCTAACGCAGTTGGATGCGATCGCACGCGCCGATATAATCGGGAGAGGTGATTAAGTGAATATTCAATTAAGATCGTATTTGCGCGGAATTAAGTTAAATTTAAATAACGCCGCGTTCAAAGCTCTTAAATTCAGATCCGAGTGCGTTTAAGTTGAGGTGAAATTACGTAACAGATTAGCGTTTCAAATAATTCGGGAATTAAAAATGCAACAAGCTACACCTTCACCCCCTCTCTCTCTCTCTCTCTTCCGTTGAAAGCCCGAGAGTTTACGTTCTCTTTCTGTTAATTTGTCGCTGTATGTGTATTTCCACCGTGCAATTATTAATATGATACGGAGACAGCCGCCGCTGCGACGATGAAAGGCATCCGGTTAAACATTTATTAGCGTCTCTCTTTCTCCCTCTCTCTCTTTCTCTCTCTCGTCGGAGCAAAGCTTCTCGCGATTTTAGTAAATACTAACGAAGGCCGTCAGAGTGGTTATTGTCCCGACCGGTGCCTCCAACGAGCTCGATTCATTTCCATATTCGCTCTTCTTCCACAGGGAGACGTCGCTTACTTCTGAAAGAATCGCGTCCAAGATGCGAAGTTACGCGTCACTCTGAACTCGATCATACGAAAGAATGCGCTTGTTGCGTCACGCAAATGTCAATCTTTCTGTTTGTGGCGTTTGTATTTATTAGAAGCTCGCAAAAGTTCGTCAGACTTTTAGCCACATGTCTTTTATTAGTCCTTTGTAGGAAGATAAAATTATCTATCGTATATTGCGAACGTACTGGTTCAAAGGCAATATTTTTCGTGATATTAGAATAAAAAAATTGCTTACTAATTGACTTAGCAATAGGTAAATATTATCAGAGGATCTTTAATTCTTCCTTTGTTTAAACCAAGAGCAGTCTTACTTTAAATTTCGTAAAGCTTAAAGGCCATAATTATTTCACAAATATTTTTAAGAAGAGGATTAGTCTGTTTAATTTCTAGAAGGTAAAAGTGCCTCAAATTAATATTAGAATCATTTCTACAGAAAACAGAGACATGATTGGGGAAAAGCGATACTGAAAAAAAAATAAAACTAAAATTACATATGAATTAAAATA